CAGAGATACCAGGTCATGCCAAATTCTTTTATAGCATGTGGCACAAATGCTGTTCCCTGAGTATGTCAAGGGTCCATCTGCCTCAGGCCTTTGCACTTGCTGACCTTGCACTCTTTCCTTCCTGCTCTTCAGTTCTCACTGGGCAAGTACCACCTTCTCAGAGAGCACCCCCGCACCGACCACCCTACCTCACCACCTGTGCTAAGGTCACCACTGACCGCCTGAACACTTTACCAAGCTTTATTTTCACAGCACTCAGTACAATATATGTTTACTTGCTTATTGTGTCTCTTCAGCTAGAAGGAAGGTTCCTGAAGATTTTGCTTCATTCACTGCCGTATTTCTAGTGCCTGGCACAGAGCAAGCACTGACTAAATAATTGTTGAGTGAATTCATGTGTGCTATGAACACAGTAGGCACTTAGGGCATCTTGTGGCCTGAATGAATGTGTGGTTGACATTCAATGTTTATGGGATTATGCTACTCACTTCCTCCCTCTGTCTGAGCTACAAAGGGAAAGAAATGACTACTCTTTCCAAAGAGGAATAAAGGAGGAGAAGAGAGACCAAAAGAATAGAAATCAAGAATCTCGCCTTAGGCTCGGTGCCTGTAGCACAGCGGTCTCCTCGCCAGCCACATACACCGAAGGTAGCCAGTTCAAACCCAGCCCCTGGCCAGCTAAACAACGACAACTGCAACAAAATATAGCCAGGCATTGTGGCAGGCACCTGTGGTCCCAGCTACTTGGGAGGCTGAGGCAAGAGAATCACTTCAGCTCAAGAGTTTGAGGTTGCTGTGAACTGTGACGCCACAGCACTCTACTAAGGGTGACATAGTAAGACTCTGTCTCAAAAAAAAAAGAATTTCGCCTTAGATTTTTGTTGGGGCCTGGTTTTGCTAAAGCCATCAAAAATCTGGATATTTAAGAGCATAAAATAATCCTGTAAAATGTAATGGATATTTAAGACAGTGAATTCAAGCAAAAAAAAAAAAACACCTAATGACAATAAGGAAGTTTTCCTTAAATAGGCAGATGATTTTGTAAGTAGCAGTCATACTGTCTAAATATCCTTTTGAGAAGGGTAGAAAGACATGTTGTACCCAACTTATCACCATAACAGAGCAATTCATGGTTATAGACCTCACCTTGGATAGCCTCTGGTACTTGTGAACTGTTGGGCAATGACCCAGAAGTAACAATGTGAGTAAAGAGGTCATTATGGCAGTTATAAAAGACCTTTGCTCTCACATCTCAGCTAACTTCCAACAACCACCCCAGGACCAAGTGAGGTCTGCCCCACATAGAGGCTCTTCATGGCTTCTGTAGCTAGGTTAATGAATGGAAGGACAGTCTATATCAAGGGGTGACCTTACTTTCTGTTCTGCTATAGGGGCAAGTTCTAACATAATTCTAAAGAATTGAGTTCTTATCTGGGCATGTATCCAGAGACTAAAAAGTCTTTAAAGTTAGGTCTTTACAGAAGCTGGAGAAAGTACTCTAGGCTTAGAGCTGTCATCTGTCAGTCACAATCCAGCACATGCTACCACAGCTTTTAAGGGCTTTTCTCCCCGACACTGCAGCTGAGTACAGTGGGCCCACCTCCTTTCTAAATCCTGGCACCCCAGCCAGCACACAGATCCTTTTTTACTTTAAGGATTTTTTTTCTAATTATTATGTGGAAATAGGGTTGAGAAAACTAATATACCAAAGTCACAAAGGTTGCAGAGTCTTGAGAAGCTAATACACTTACAGTTCTGGGATAATTCCTGACTCCTTCCTGAGGACTCTAACTGGCAACTCAAATGGATTTCTGTTTTCTGTTTTTATTTCAGGAAACCAAGTTCACTGAATCTTGCTTCCTTCTGTTCTAGGCTTTCAAGAGACCCAGACAGACCCTTTTCTTCCTTTCTTCAGGACAATAAATTTCACTGGAATTCCAAGTGATTGTTCTTTTAAAATACAGTTAAACAAAAATTCTTCTGTCTTCCTCAAGGCAACATACTGGGTCCATAGTAGAAGTCCAGCAGATCCTATTTGTTGATGGATAAATTGAAAATGACCTAAGTGGACTTCAGTTTGAGGTTCTCCTCAGTAAAGACCAGATGACTTGTTGCTTTGTATTCTGAGGTTGCCCTGAGTATCCATCCCATGACTTGGTAGAAAATAACATTCTTTAGCAGCCTCAATTCCGCAAGTAGGAGGCAGGGGCATTCGCTGCATTGTATCTGGATGTTGGCATGAATGTGGTCTTGCCCTGTGAGCCTTCAGAACAAAACTTGAGGTTGAATCCCTTTTGTTAGGGTAGATAAGGGAGTGTATTGAGCTCCATGGAAAACAGACAGAAGGACTCTGACAGATGGGTAAAGGGTCACCCCCACAGCAGGGGGTCAGCCTGGAAGTGGGTACTATGGCAACACGCTAAGAATTATCCTGTGAATTAAAGGATGGTTGGATTCACTGGGTCTGCCCAGGCAGGGAACCTGGCTGAGTCTTTGTCAGCCAACAGATGAAAGGCTGGTGTGATTTGACAGTTCAGTTGTGTTCAGACAGCTCTATGCAATGGAGATGACAATACTCCTGAGTCTCACTGCATTTATTTATGTAAACCAGGGCATACCAAGGATGGAGGCTGTGGAAGTGATCCATCCCAGGTGTGGGCCATAGGCAGTGAACTATTTTTTTTTTTGTCTTAGAAAAATTTAGAACAATGATGAAATTGACTAAAAAATCGGTTTGTTTCCTGTTATTATCATGCTCCAACAGCTCCACACAATGTCAGTAGTGAAGTACTCCTCCCTCATAGGGGCACACTTCTGTGCTGCCCTACCCCCCTGCCTCCTTGGTAAACCACTGGGATAAACAAGTACCAGGTGGGAAGATTATAAATCAGCAAGATAATAAAAAGCAAATGACTCCTGAGATCTTTTTTTTTTTTTTTTTTGGTCACAGAAACTCTACTTTGTAGAGTTTAGAGAAGGTTGATCTGTGATGAGCATTTCTGTTAGCTTTGTGTTTTGGTTGTCTATTGCTGCTTTAAAAACTATCCAACATTTAGTTCCTCAGAACAACAATCATTTATTTGTTCATAGTTCTATAATTTTGGCATGGTTCAGTGGAGATGGTTTATCTCTGTTCCCTATGGTGTCTGCTGGGGCTGGAAAGCTCCCCAGGGCTTTTTCACTCATATGTCTGGTGCCTCAGCTGGGATGAGCTGAAACACTATGGGCAGGCCTGGCCTCTCTTTCTATGTGGCCTCTCCCCTTGGCTAGGTTGGGCTTCCTCACAGTATGGAGGGTGGTCTCTCCTTCTGTGACAGTTGGCTTTTCCCAGAGTGCAAAGCAGAAGCTATCAGGTTTGCTTAAGGTTCAGGCGTGGCTGGAAGTCATAAGGCATTTTTTTTCTGCCACATTCTATTGGTCAAAGCAGTCACAGGGCCAACCCAGATTTAAAGGGAGGAAAAACAGACTCTACTTTATTACAAAGAAGATAATGTTGTTGCCATCCTTGGAAACATCATCTATCTAATATTGCTTTCTTTATCATAACAAGGTTGTATGCTTTCACATACTGCCTATAACCACGATAAACTTTATCTAGAAAAAAGGAGGATGTTTTGGATTTTTTTTTACTTTTAAGAAAATTAAACCCTTATAATTGACACCACACCTTGGTTCCGAATGGGAAGATGGTCATAGATTCCTAAGAAGAAACCAGAACTGACCAGCCCTTTACCATAGCATTTGAGAGACAATACCAGGGTAAGCCTGATTCATAAAAACCAAAGCATGTTCAATTCCGTGAGACTGTCTAGTCCACAGGTATAGCCTTGCTTCACCTCCCAAGATAAGGTCAAATGAACAACACATTTTGATCATTACTCCTGTCAGACAACTCCCGCATTTCAGTTTATATCCCTTAAGGCCAGTATTGTTTAAATGGACGGTCTCAGGATTCTGGTGAGGTTCAGAATCTGAGGGTCTTTCAATTGTATGATAGACCTTGAAGGTCTCCATAAATTTCGCCCTGGGTCAGAAAATCACAGTCCAGTCCAAATAGAATGCACATGAGAGCTGATGTGCAGCAACATGACTCCCTTGCCTTTGCCAGACAGTTAATCTACCTATATACGTACAGCTTTGGCTTGGAAAACAATTTCAAGTCCACTGTCTCATTTCCTTCTCTCTATAAATAACTTAGTGAGTAGGCAGGCCCCTGTGAATGCTCCCCCTTTGCACATATGTAAACAGAACAGAGGTCATAAGCTCCTGGTGTCACACCAGAGCAGAACTGCACAGCCTGGGGAGTTAGCACTCTCCTAACTCTTCTTCACACAGGGTTCTTCTTGCCTGCTTGGCAGAGCGCCCTCGAGGTTCCTGGCCCACGGGAAGCATGCCTCAACTCCCTCTGTCCATTCTCATAGCTGATAGGGCTTGGCGTCTGGTAAAAAGGGGGATTGAGTGGGCCGCTATCTCCTATACCAGGAGCCCAGACAGACCATTCTCAAGAAGGCCCAGTGTCTCTACTACACCCTGTCTACGGGTTTTCTCCTACACCGGCCAGAATAAGACTCTTGAAGGAGTTAGCCCATCTCTCCCGGTTTCCTTATTTTTCTCTTACAGAACAGGAAAAAATGTTGTGTTCCCAGGGCCCCAAACTCTTGACTCCTCACAACCAAAGGGGCCACTGAGGACAGGCAGGCTCCTCTTTCTGCTCTGCCCGCAGCCCGCCAGTTCTTCCCCACTCTCTTCCCTCCCACCAGGCTTCCGCTGGCTCCCACTTCTGGGGGCCCCTGCGCCCCCTATTCTCCTGCGTCCCTGCCCTTCCGCTCGCCCCTGGGCTCCCGGCTTTTGTTGCCCGGGCTTGTTTCTGACTTGAGAGCGTCGCCGGGCTTGGCGCCAGGTCACGTGCGTTAGTGACAACCTCTCCCAGGGCGGCCCCGGGGCGCCCGCGCCGCCGATTGGTGGGGCCGGGCCTGGCGCGGCCCCGGGGCGGGGCGGCCGGGCTCGACGGCGGGCGGAGCGGCCGATCAGCTGTTCCGAGCGCTGCACAACAACAAAAGGACCTGGACGGGCCGGCCTGCGCGCAGCGACAGGAGGGCCGGAGCTGCTCCGTGCCTGCCGTCCGGGGACCCGAGCGAGCGCAGCCCGTCCCGGCCGCCGCTACCTCAGCAGCCCCGCGCCAGTGCGCGCCTCCCGCTGCGGAGCCCGGGGGTCGCTTCCTTCGCCTCGCGTCCCCGCTGCCGCTCGGGCCCACGTAAGTGCGGGCGGGCGGGCGTCCAGGGCCGCCTCGCCGCCCACCCGGGTCCCCGAGACCGGCGGGTCCGGCCGCGCGCCCTGCCCTCGGGGCGCCGGACCGTGCGCTCTCGAGCTTCGCGCTGCTTTTACGTGTCGCCGCCGCCGCCGAGCGGGCCACCCCGTCGGCAGATCCGCGGCCCAGGGTGCGGCGGCGGCGGCGGCGGCGCGACACGGGCCCTGCCGAGCCCCGGCTGATCCCCGGCTCTGGGCGGCGGTTGGGTGTTTGGTTTCTGCCTCCTCCCCCGAGCGTGGCCTGTTTTCTTGGCCGCGGCGGGACCTCCTTTTTCTCCTCCTCCTCACTCCCCTCCACTCCTCCTCCTGCCCTCGGCCGTTGGATGGGGCTGCCGGCTGAGGACTCGGCGCGAGGCCCCCGTCTCCTGGAGGAGAGCCCGCGGCCACCGCCCGCCCGGACGCGTCGCTCCAAGGCAGCGGCGTCCCGGCTCTCTGCCTGGTGCCTCGCCCCGCGCCCCATGCGCCCCCCGCCCCCTCTGCTCGCCCTCCCAGCACAGGGTCGCGCGCGGTAGCGCAGGAGGCTCTGGGGCTGCGCAGACCCTGCTCCGTTACCCAGCGACGGCCGCTCCCTGAGTGACCGCCTGTCAGTTGCCTGTTCCTTGACCCGACTCGATCTTCCACATCACTGTTTGAGACTGCACTTGTGGAAAGAACACTTTCCTTTCCCGTTATATTTTAAATCGAAATCATTTTGATCACTTGCGCTTATTGAGCGCTTTAGCATCGCCATCCACATACATAATACTATGTTTAGGGCTTTGATCAGTATCCCAATTAATTCTCAGCATAACCCAATGAAGTAGGCTTAGTTATTTTATAGGTAGAAAACCAGAGTTACAGAGAAATTAAGCAACTTACTCAAGGCCACCCAGCCAATTGAAGAGAAATGGTGTTTTAAATTTCAAAGTTGCCGATGAATTTTAAATGGAAATTCTTTGTTTTATTGCATTTCCTGATTATGTCTGTTCGATGTGTTAACCCCAATTTAGAGTAAATTAAGAAAGAGTTTCTTTACACCTGTAACTCCTAAGAATTTGAACATCCTTGGCTAAAAGCTTCTGAATATAGCAGCTTTGGTAAGGGGGGGAAATGTGACTCTTGGGGTCACTGAACCAGAGGTCATTATGAATGCCCCAAGATCCTGAGGTCACTAGCTTGGTAATTGAAAGACATTTTTCATTTTCACATGGGAAAACATTGGAAAGCTTTTGATTTTAAGTCGCAGTCACTATAATTCTGAACTGGCAGCATACTTTCCAAAGGCTGCTGCCTGGAACCAGGACCTTACTCATTTCTGTGACCAAGGTCTCTTGTTTTCTCTCCTGTCTTTTGTTCTTTTCTGCAGTTGCTCCCTCCTGTGTCTCTCGGGAATGGCCTGCTTTCAAAATTCAAGGTTAACAGGCTAAGAACTACCACTTACTGCAGTCTTTGTCCACTGTCATTCAGCCTTCAGGGCAGGCAGTAGTGGGTCCCTGGGGGAACAACCTTCCTTGTGAACTAGTTGAATAGACTGGGTAGAAGTGGACCAAACAAAGACAACTTTCTTGGCTTGGTTTTTCTGCAGTTCAAAATTGATTTTAAATTACTTGAATCAGCTTACTTTCTTTTTTAAGTAATAGGAGAAGGTGGGACATACCGAGATGATTTTGAGGCAGCTTTTCAGTGTAGTGTTTGGCCACCCGATAGTGCTGAAGCTGTCAGGGAGCCAGAGCGGTACACATATTTAGAAGTCAGATCATCAAAGTTGTGGGATTTTTTTTTTTTTTTTAATTTAAAAATGTTTTCTGGAGCCGCCTGCTGGCAGCTAAAACCAACTGAAAGGCGTTGTTTTCTCAGATTCTTAGAACAGGAGTTGAGGCCGGGAGCCTGAAAGATCATGTGCAGGGAAGAGCAAGGGACTGGAATTAGGTGGATTTGTGCTGTAGTGCCAGCCCCACCCGACTAGCTCTGTCACTTTTGAGCAAGTTACTTAATTTCTCAGCCTCATTTTCCTTATCAGGAAAATAGGAAGAATAAGTACCTCAAGGTCCTGTCACATATAAGAAGCAATCAATATACATACAATAGCTTTAATTATTATATAGACATTCTGTGGATAAAGAAACTGAGACCCAATGACGCTAAACAACTGTTCACAGTCTCCCAGTGAGCTTGGAAGAAACTTGTAGTTAATATTTACCGAGTGCTTGCTATTCTAAGAGATACACACTTAATCCTCACGTTGGCACTGCAAAGTTAGTATTACAACCATCATTCCCATGTTAAGGTTGAGAATACAGGCACCAAGATGTTACTAAATATTCTGGATTTACCTGGGTTGCCAGTAGCAGAGCCAAGATTTCAAACAGAGCAGGCTAACCCCAGCACTGGTCTTAAGGTACCACAACATATGGCCTCTTGGTGGGCTACCTATATTTAAGAAAAGAAAATAAATTATAAGATCTTCAAACTAGCATCTCCTTTTCTAAATCCTGAAACCAGACTGCTCTTTCCACTGAGTATGGGAAAAGAGCCTCCTTTCTCTGCTCACTAAGCATCTCTACTTATGTAATAATGCGGAAAAAACATTGATACTAAAATGTTAAGTAGCAAAAACAAGGTCCAAAATTGTGCATTCGCTAGACTACAGCTATGACCAAAAGAAACTTAACAATAGAAGAAAAAGAAGAAAATGCACCAATATGCCAATATTGATTACAACAAGGAATGGAATACTACCGATTTTCCTTATTTATTTTTTAAACTTTTATAATGTAGTTTTGTCCACTTAATAATGAAAAAGACATAATTTATTTTTGAAAGGGAAGAGATAGAGGTATTTTTGAGTCAAGCAGAACAGGGACAAGTCTGCCTTCTTAAGTACTTGGGCCCACTTTGTTACTTCTCCCCATTAGGGAGACTGCTAGGCCCATTTTGGCTACAACTGAATGCTTCCAGGTGCCTCACAGAACAGCAGCACTACCCCACGTATCCTTTGCCTCTACCTCATTGCCAAATTCCAGAGCTGTATTTGTAAATTTGTCCTCTTAGGACACATGCTTTCTCTGGAATTTTCATTTTACTTTCATCATTGCCCTAGAGTTGTGATTATTAAAGCCAGTGACCATGTGGGAAGGAGAGAAGTTTGAAGCTCTTTGCTTTGCCTTTTAGCTCCACATAAAACCAGTCCCATGGAGAACCTCCATCTCTGGGCAGGAGCTAAGGTTGAGAGTGGCAGGAACAGTCTAGGTCATCTGTAGAGGAATAGGCCATTAAGATTTTAGGGATATTTTTCTGGAACAGCCCTGTCCAAGAGAAGCATATAATGTGAGTCACGTGCATATTTAATTTTCTTGTGGCCACATTATAAAAGAAAAACAGATAAATTTAATTAGTATATTTTATTATGTAAAAATTACTTGTTTCAACATGCAATCAATATAAAAATTATTAATGAGATATTTTACATTCTTTGGGGTGGGGTTGTAAGTTTTTGAACTACATTCCAGTGTGTTCTCTACACATATAGCACATCTTCAGATACAAAATCTTTGTCCTATATTCAAGTGTTGCAAAATTTACACATTAAAAAGTAGATTCACACACCCTAACTATTCCAAACATGCTTGAAAATTTTCCAAACATTGACTCAATTATGAACTTTTAAATTTAAATGGATTAAAATTAAATAAAATTAAAAATTCAGTTTGTCAGTCACACTAGTCACATCACAAGTGTTCTTTCTGTCATGAGCCTGGTGGCTACCTCATCAGACAATTTTAGTAAATGGTGGGAGATCTATTCAGCAGCTCCTTGTCTTTTGTGACACCTAAAGAAATCAGGGTCCAAGGAACTTTACATAGTTAGACGAACCTCACTTCATTGTGCTTGAAGTTTGTGGAAAAAGGGAGTAAAGAGGCAATCCAATACAATTTCCCCATTTTTCTGATGGTGAGACTGAGGCTCAGAAAGGCAAATTGTTAGCTCTAGCCCCCTGTGGAAGAATCAGAGGCAGAATTCTCTGCTCATGCCCCAACCACTGCTCCTTCCTCCTCTTCCCAAGGACTCCATTCTGTGTGCCCTTCCCACAGGGTGACAACAGGCGTGGCATGCAAATACCAGCAGGGACACAGGTGAGATGAAGGATGAGCTCTTCTCTCTCCTGTCTGGGCTTTTGAAGACTCCGCCCACTCAGTTTGGTTGTCCTTGCAGAGACATGAGTGATCTGGAGGCAACCTCTGACATCAGGAGATTAAAAGAGCACTGACTTATGCTGCTCCTGAGAAAGCTCCTCTAGAGGAAGCCTTTCCTATAGCAGAGTTGTGTATATTCCAGGTGTAAGCTGCCTCCATTACATGGATTTGCAGCTATGGCTAGAGAAGCCACACACAGAGTCATAGGGGGAGACAAGGTGCCCATCCAGGATGAGCAAGGGTTCCCCTGTGGCAGGCGTCCTCAAACTACAGCCCGTGGGCCATATGCAGCCTACCTAGGACGTTTATCTGGCCCGCCAAGTGTTTTTGCCACCGCTGCCTGTCCTGCTTAGCAGCCAACTCTTCCTGTGGCCCACAGTCCGGCCCTCCTGCAGTCTGAGGGACAGTGGACTGGCTCCCTGTTTAAAAAGTTTGAGGACCCCTGCTCTGTGGGGTTCTCTCTCCCTAACCCATGGCACTGGCTGCTTAGTGGATGCAGGACCAGAGGCCAGCAGGATTGTGCTCTAGAGAATTAGGATGATTCTCTCAACAGGCTCAGCAGACACAGAATTGTGTTGGGGGTCAGTATCTGCCTCCATAATTTAAGAGAAATGGGGAAAAGATTTTGAAAATATCTTTTTCCTTCCTTGCTTGTATCCTTCAAAACTTTTATTTATATCAGGCCTTGCCATAGCTCATCTTCTGGGATATAACTGTCATACCACAGTGGGTCAAGCAAACTAACTATACAATCCACTCTTCCAATTTCTCTTACATATAACATAAACTGAGTTTAAGTCTCTTACTAGAGCTTTAGCCTTCATGATTTGGCCATCTTGCCTTCCAGAGGTTGCAGGAAGGCTAGTTATGCAAGTGACACTTCCTGTTTACCCACTTTTAATAATTAATGACTGAGGATGAACTGTGACCACAAAAGTGTTCTAATGTCATCTGAAAAGTTTCATTCTGGTAGCAGTGTGCCAAACAATTGTAGCAGTCCAGTTCACATGCTAAGATTGAACCAGAAGTCTCCTTGCTACAAACCCAGCTACTTCTAGAGCTTAAGGTTGTTTAAAAGTGAACTGTCAGGAGCCTGAAGTTGTGCAGTCAAGGCTGATGCTTGTGATGAAAAGTATTGCTTAGTGAGGTGCTTTTCATCAGCCCCGGGTGATCTCATCCACTCTTACAGGTTTTTTGCCCCCTTTGTGTCAGCAGCTCCCAGATCTGTGCTCACTCAGTCCCGATGCTCTTTCAGTGTCTGCTAGACTGCTCCAGCTGCATCATCTTGCACATTGCCCAAATTCTAAATGACTCCAATCTGTGCTTCCTTCAGTGTACATTTCTATACCCCTGAAAGGTCCCAGCATCCACTGAGTTAGCCAAGCCAGAAACCTGGATCTTCATTTTTAATTTTGGTTTGCAAGACCCTGCAGGATCTGGTTCCCGCTTAGCTCCCCAGCTTGTACCCAGAGCCCTCCATCTGAACCTTGAGTGGTATTCCAGGTAGCTTTTCTCATCTTCTTACTTCCATGGTGTTCCTTCTCCTCCTCCTTCCATTCCTGACCTTCACAACCACTCAACACTAAAGTCTCTCATCACAGGAGTCTGCTCAGGTAATTTGGGGGACACCTGGCACTACCACTCCCCTAGCACACATCACCCTGGGTGGTTACATCTGCTGATGAGAGGGCCTGGTTCACAGCGCTGTCCCTGTTCACAGCTGGGCACTGTGGCTGATGCACAAAAGGTGCTCAGTAAATGCGTATGGAGTAGCTGGCCTCTGCTGAGGACTTTATGTCATGTACCTTGCTAAGCCCATTCCCTCCACTGTCTCATTTAACAAGAGCAGGGTCAAGGAGACTGTCTAAGATGTCATTTTGACAAAGTCCCAGAGAGACAAGAAGTTGGTTTAAATTAGGATGAGAGTTATAGAGGGAAGTAGGCAGATTTGAGCTGCCTGTGAAGCTGGAGTCAATGGGATTTGCTGTTAGATTAGATGAGAGGTTAATGGGAGACTAAAGTGAGTCAAGGGTGATTGGGTACAGTGGCTCACACCTATAATCCCAGCAATCTGGGAGGCTAAGGCTGGAGGATTACATGAGGCCAGGAGTTCAAGACCTGCCTAGGCAATGTAGTAGGACCCTGTCTGTATAAAAAATTAGAAAAATTAGTCAGGCATGGTGGTGCATGCCTATAGTGCCAGTTCCTCTGGAGGCTGGGATGGGATGATCACTTGAACCAAGGAGGTGGAGGCTGCAATGAGCTATGATTATGCCACTGTATTCCAGCCTGGGCAGCAGAGTGAGACTTCATCTCTTAAAAAAAAAAAAAAAAAAAAAAGGTCAAGGGTAACTGCTAAGTTTTTAGTCTGAATAATTGGTGACTGCTGCTCCTTACTGAGGAGATGAAGGTTAATATGTATGAATAAGTTTGTGGGAAAGAGGGAAAAAGTTATTTTTGGTATGTGTTCTGTTTGATATACCTATCAGGTAACCAGGTAGAAAAGGATAGATAAATCTAGAACTTTGGAATAAGATCAAGCAAGGCTGAAATTCCTTATTTAGAGCTTACTAGAACTCCCTGAGGTAGGAACTGTTGTCACTGAAGCTGTGTAACTTCCTAACCCACATAGTGAGGGAGCAGCTGAGCCTGGGATTTGAAAACAGGCTCACTAACTCCAGCACCTACTTGCTGAGCCATCTCACAGGAATAGTGTTTCCAGGTGTAGGTGCTGCCAAGCTCAGTCCTCTATAGTTCAGAGTATGCTGTCCTTGTAGATTTTAAATGCAATTAAAATGTGCTTATTATAGCCATATACAAGAATACAGAACAGAAGGGAAAACAAGCCAGGTCAAGGTGAGGCCCTGGCTTCAGGGTCATTACCGGGCATTGTTGCTGGGTCCATGTGAAGACTTCAGTTGAGTATCATTCAGCAAGAGTGTTAATACCTAATTTTTGCTCATCTACTTAAAAGAGAAACTGCCGTTTGAAATACGTCATTCACATAGATAATAAAAAAGAACCAACTGTTTCCCTTCTATTTCACATTTTAAGATATTTACATGTTGTACTTCTTGTTTTTAACTCCTATAGAAAGAAATACCTATAGAATATAGGCTGAGGCATATGCTTTCTTCTAAGAGTATGTGTGTGTGTTCTTGTACTTAACAATATACATATATATAAATAATTTAAAATGACCTCCTTTTTCTCTTTTATTTTAGGGATAATGACTCTTCTTATTGTTCACCTAAGTTAAATAAGCAACTTGTGCACTTTAATCTCCTGCCAGTACCTTCTGGCCAACTGAAGACATTTTGGAATCTCAGCTATAAAGACAGCCAGCCAAAGTCTTAATCTTGCCTTAACAATGTTCCAGAGGCTGAATAAAATGTTTGTGGGTGAAGTCAATACTTCTTCCAACCAAGCACCAGAATTTAGTGAAAAAGAAGATGATGAATGGATTCTTGTTGACTTTATAGGTAAGGTACACTTTGGTTAATTTTCTAGTAAAAGTGGAAAATCTTGTTTCTCCGTTTTTGCATAAGTAAACCAGTAACTGAAGGTTTTTAAGCCTTAAAAGTAAATAAGAATTTGTCTAAAAAAAAAAATATTGCAGGAAACATCCTGTGCCAGATAGTCAGTGAAACTGACGTCAGACTTTCCAGTTTTGCAACTCTTATAGCCTGATCAAATCAGAAGCACTTTAATGGGAAACCCTCATATGAGACAAGCAGTAACTCCTACGACTCCTTATATGTTTATTTAGCAGAGTAGAAACAGTCCCAAAACCATTCCTGCAAAGCCAATGTAATCTCTCCCGTCCAGTGACACCAGACACACACACAGTGCTCAGAAATTATTTTACAGTCATTATGAGTGAACATAAATGGTTTTGTTTCTGAACTAAAAGAAAGAATGTGAGCATCATCTAACAGTATCATCTCTTTCTTCTCTGTGCTGTGAATTTGATGCGTGGCTATACGATGACTACGCCTTGTGTTGCTAATCCTCCCATGGGGCTCTTCAACAACACCCGTGGACTGCACTGTGAACTGCCATCTAGATACTTGCACTGGCTTCTCAGCAGAAGAGGAAGAAGACGAGGACATCAGTGAAGAGTCCCCTACTGAGCACCCTTCAGTCTTCTCCTGTTTACCTGCATCTCTTGAATGCTTGGCTGATACAAGTGATTCCTGCTTCCTCCAGTTTGAGTCCTGTCCAATGGAGGAGAGCTGGTTTATCACCCCTCCCCCGTGTTTTACTGCAGGTGAATTAACCACTATCAAAGTGGAAACGAGTCCTATGGAAAACCTTCTCATCGAACATCCCAGCATGTCTGTGTATGCTGTGCATAACTCCTGCCCTGGTCTGAGTGAGGCCAGCTGCGGGACTGATGAACTTCATAACCCAAGTAGTCCCAGGTACGTTGCAAGTATTTTACTCTCTCCAGAGACAGTGTGCTGAGCATGCATTTTATTTATTTCTACTACAGTTCAAGGCAAGTTCTTAGCAGATGCAAAAGTAATTTTGTTAGGGATTTATAAAAGCCCATGCATAGTACACGAAGTGATCAATATTATAAAAACACATGGTTCATTTTAGACTTTTTTTAAGTTAATCTTCCTCAGAGTGATTGAAAAAATAAGTAAATAAAAAGTTGGTTGTGATGCAGCCACAGTTACAGAATAAAGAACTATCTTATTTGTAAAATTCTGCTTCTGAATGGAAATAAAAGACTAGCATTTCTGCTAAGTATCTTAGAATATAACTCTGACACTCTATAATAGACTAGATTATTTAGGGTACCAAATTCAACTAGAATACTGTATCTTAAAATAAAACTTTCTTTCTTCCCAATGTCCTTAGCTGAGTCACATCAAATGATGCCTAACCTTGAAGACCATGTCTGAGAATATAGGAATAACAAACTCAGTTTTCTACTCTCACAACACAGTCACACAATACTGTTGACACCAGATATGTGGGGTTCCCCCCTCACGCCAAACAAGCAGTTTTCTAGTAGCACACCCTCTGCATGTCCTCTAATTCAGTTCTGACACTGTCTACCTAGAGATGGTGTTGGATCCCTCAGGCTGAGGGCTCAGTCCCCAGTACTGCCCTCTACTTCTCATGCCACCTGCAAGCCCTAAGTTGTTTAACGTGTGCCTATAGATCAGGGTTCCCATGCCCCCATCCTTGGGTAATTAATGAGCTAGAGCAGCTCACAGAACTCCAGAGAAATGCTTCCTCTATTTACTGGTTTACTATAAAGGTTGTTAAAAAGGAAACAAGTGAAGAGATGCATAGGACAGGGCATGTGGGAAGGGGTCCAGTGCTTTCATGCCTTCTCCAGGCACACACACCCCCCCCCGCCCCGGACCTGTAGGTGTTCAGCTATCTGCAAGTTCCCCAAATCTAACATTTTGGGGGTTTTATGGAAGCTTCATTACATAGATGTGATTGATTAAATCATTGGCCACTAGTGATCAGCTTCACCTTCAGGCCCTCTCTCCTTCCTGGGAGGTTGGGATGCTGAAAGTCCCAACCCTGTAATCCTGCCTTGGGCCTTCAGGTGGCCAGATCCCATCCTGAGGCTGCCTGCCATCAGGTAATCATTAGTGTACAAAAGATACTCTCCACTTTGGAGATTCTAAGGATTTTAGAATTTGTATGCCAGGAGACTGAGGAAGACCAAATATGTTATTTCACAATACCATAGCCTACCCCCAGTCTTTGGACTTGGGTCCCTTACAACAAAAGGATATGTAGGCTTGGCACTCATAGCTCAGTGGTTAGGGTGCTGGCCACATACACCAGGGCTGGTGGGTTCGAACCCACCCCAGGCCTACTAAACAACAATGACAACTGCAAAAAAAGAATAGCCAGGTGTTGTGGTGGGCACCTATAGTTCCAGCTCCTTGGGAGGCTGAGGCAAGAGAATTGCTTAAGCCCAAGAGTTAGAGGTTGCTATGAGCTGTGATGCCACGGCACCCTACCAAAGGTAACATAGTAAGACTTGTTCTCAAAAAGAAAAAAAAAGGGATATATAACTCAAAAGATTCTGGCACAACACTAGAATCCCATTCAGTCATTGTTATTCATCCAGTCCATTGTCATATTGCATGGATACATCTCCCAGGGCCACTCAAGTTTCCAGACTTCATTGATCTTGTCAGGTTCCAAAAGCAGGAATGGGCTTGGCAAACATACAGTATTGTTTGTTCCCTTTCATGCATTTGGTATAACTGAACTTAGAGACAATGTCATCTCTTGCTCTGAGCCTCTTTTGAGGTGCTAATGTATTAGATTTCTCTCTATTCGTAGCCCATTTATTCATTCCTTCATCCTCCTATTTGCATCCAAACTTTTACACCTTTGGAAGGGGCATTAGGTTTAGCCACCGTGCTGGTCTAGATTGTAGGCAGCAATACTAACTAGTCCAAGTACCCCCTCCTGAGCCCACTCCCATTCAGAGCAGGTAAGGCTACACAGGTGCAGAATAGGGGGGCATCTTTACCACCAAGCAGGATAGCTGCATCTTCCACCTTGTAAGCAAAGCCCCATCCAGAGTCAGGGCCTATTCCTGTTAAGACCCATTTGTGGTCATTAATCTCAACTTGCCAGCTATGCTCAGGGCTTTCCCAGAGAATGTACCCCATAACCATCAGCTGTCTCTTTTGCTGGCCCTCTCACATTAGTTATGTGTCTCGAGTCAGCCCATCTCTGCACTGCGGCAGTACCCCATATCCACATCCACTCATTTCATGGACCCAGATGGCTACCTCAAGGGAGCACACAGGGACATATCCGCTTTCAGTTCTAGTCACCTTCTGAACCTGGAAGGGGCTCGTCTGATGGCCATGTCCTACTTTATTCACCTCTGACATAACCATAGAGGTGCACCCCATCCCTTTAAAAGGTCAGGTTTTCATTGCCCTTCTGCCTGATGGTGTGGCCAGGCCATTGGCCATGCCCATGAGTCAGTAAAAACCCAAACACAGGGGCTTTTAGCACTGCTCAATTCTTCTGTTACCACTAGGAAAGCAGCACACAATTCATCCCACTGCACGCCTGTGCTTCTACCTTTGTGGATCAGAGTGGCGTCCTCTCAAATAGGATGTTATCTGTTCATCTTGGAACTGCCATGTGCATACCAAGCACGTCCTCATCGTTCAGTTTAGAGCTGTTTATAGGTCACTGTCCCAATGACGGGATCCAGCAGCTCCTCAAATAGTGCCAGAGTCAATCTTAGAGCAAAAGAGGATCCCAGCTTGTATCTCCTCCTCTCAGTCCCTGGGGAACATTCTCCTGGGCAGCACTACTGTCCCTATTAGGGTGTTTCTCTGATATCACCCAAGACATCATGTGTATTTCAGGCTTCAAGGTCATTTTTCGTCTTTCAGTCATAGGAGTAGCTTCAGTTACTGTCCCATAGCAAGGTAGTGATACCCCTCCGGTGGAAATTTCCTAGTCCAAAGTCCTAGTAGTCATTGAGAGATGCTCACAGGCTTTTGTCATAAGTGCCAGTTTTTACATTCCACATGGGACTAACAGAGAATTTGTTTCTACCTGCACTCCAGTTTTGCAGTTTTGATTCTGCACTGTGTGGGCGTGGGCAGTCTTACTGGTTCCCATTTAACATTTCCAGTGCATTTACATGCCTTTGGTTTTATGGTACCAGGTAAAGAGGAACATCCCTCAGGCAGATACTGTATTTATTCCCATAAAATATTTAGGTAAAGGAAATACAGCTTCTTTACATAGAGACTGTTAACATTGACCTTTAGGTTTTTATATTTTAATATAACTGTAGCCTGAGTCAGGGCTTCTCCAAGGAATCTTGGTGTAACAGTGGACGGGGCTCCCATACCAGAATTTCTCTTTACCACCTCCTGGCCATTTTAGCTGCTTGTGCACATGAGGCCTTGTGTGTCCTCAGCAAAGGGTAGAACAGAGGGACCCCTTGCCTATTTGTCAATCTTTGTCTTGATTAACCTGCCTATTGCCCCAAATATTGTTGCTCAGCTTTCTCAGTGTAATCTCTACCTTCCAGATTTTTAGGTTTCTGCAAATTTATAGATATTCTGTGGCCTTTATCCAGGGAATATATCTAAGATTGCCCCCTCCCACTAAAATAAAGCCTATTACCTGGTTAATTAGCTCAAAGTCCAGCTATTCTATCATATACTTTAGTGGAATGTTCCCTGTGGTAGCGAGATATTCTGAAAATGTTAGCACTAACTTAATTCTTTCTCTTGGATCAAGAGTCCAGGTGAGTTCAGAACCTTTGGAGCAGTTCAGAATATTTCTGTTGTTAATGTCATCCAAATGGCCACTTTTTGGATTGTCTGGGCTCTGACTCTACTGAGTAAACCACTGTATATATCTTCTGCTACTTCCTGTTTTCCAAATATAAACAAAGCCCAGACAGCCCATTAATTTGTTAACTTTACCAGAGTTTACTGCACTCTCAGGTCTTAGTATTGTAGATGATATTTTATGAGGTTAAACATATTTTATTTTGCTTGTACCAAACTGAAAAACAACTTTCTTATATGGCTACATGTTGGCAGTCTACATACTGAGAAATGTAACTTTAACTGGCACTTTATTTAGTGCTATAAATTTATTAAGAGGCATTTCAGGCATTCCAGTAAAAACTTAAAATACAGCTTTTTGGGCTGGGAATGGTGGCTCGTGCCTATAATCCCAGCACTTTGGGAGGCTGGGGGCTGGTCTTGAACTCTTGGTCTCAAGTGATCCTCCCTGCCTCAGCTTCCCAAATTGCTAGGACAATTAAGTGCATAACATGGTACCCAGGCATTTTTACCTGTCTGTTTCTCTAGTATTTCACCTAGTTTGCCAATCTGGGACCAGGTGCTACATCTGGCTGTTGTCTGTTTGCAATTTGGATGCAGTGAGAATGGGTTTTTTGTACCTTGTTTTTGAATTCATATATTAAAACATAGAATAGCTAAATATGTACTTCCAATATATAAAGGATCAAAAGAACACAAAGCATTTCATATGAATTCTTTTTGCACATATTATAGTTTTATAATAGTAACTAAAACTTTAACATCCTTATTTTTAGATTCAAAATTCTTGTATGAAAGGCCTGCTAAATCAATATAGATATCAGGTGTTACCAGAATTAGGAGGCTAGATACATAGTAAGCATCTGTGTTTTCTGAGCAAAAAGTAATCTTATCTTTTAGAAGTTAAATTGTTTCCATCCTGTCTATCCTTGGAAATAATATGTAAAGCACATAAAAGTAAGGTGCTTTGTGATTAGAATAGTCTTTGGAGTATGTACTTTATTGCATTTTAGCCTTTATAAGTATTGTTTGTGAAGGTTTATATGCTATCATAACCTTAAATTAATATTTTTGCCTTTAGTAACACACAGTAAACCAGTTTTAATAAAAAAAAAGTTGACCACGTCCTAATAGTAAAACTAAAATAACATTTTAAATCATACTAGTGATTTAATAGTTCGCCATTTAACATTTGTAGGGCCAGGAAAAGCTGCTTATAGGACTCTCGGGCACAGAGTAAGTACACTCATTTTAAGACTGTGTGATAAGTTATCAGTCTGCACAGGGAGGCTAAGGACCCGCACGCTGGCCTCTTAAAAACCACTTTCTGTATATTAGTTTCTTAATGTGACCACTTTAATTCTTTTTAAAATAAATATTTACATATATAAAGATAATGTTTTCCTCATGTGATTTTAGGCAGAGTATATAACTGCCTTTTCTCTTCATGTTATGTATTAACATAGTTTAGATCAATCCTGCTTGAATAGCTTTTTGTAGAGAAAGTATATAATAATCATATTGTGTGTAGCTGTATTTTAAGATTGTGTTCTTCAAAAATCTTGATAACATTGTCAAGTAAATGCCATTCCAAAATATGCCCTGTTATGATACAAATAAAAACTTAAGAGTTGTCTCTACAATTAGCCATAGCTTCTGACCTAGAAAAAATGATAAATGAGTAGAATTTCCTTATGCATATCTCTATGAAATAGAGATTTATAGTGTGCTTCTTAGAACATTTTACTTTTGACAGAAAATGTCTGTGAGGGTACCATTGGCATAATATTTTCTGATCAGTAAAATTTGGGAATCAAAATATTTTCCTTTTAAGATTACACTGAGAATTAAAGTATATATTTGCAAACCAGCAAATGTAGATATTCAATAAATGTTAGTTCCTCCCTCAGAAAAGTCTATAAAAATGTATGTACTTTGTACATTCACTCAAACTATAAAGCATATTTTTAGAATAGAGTCTGCTTAGTTAGCCATCTCTGGATTAAATGGCGTATTTCTATTAAAAGTTGGCTTCTCTTTTCCCACCGCTATCAGTGTGGTCACAAAACAATAAACTTGTCTGTCAGCCATGAGACACTAAGCTCCCGTCCAACCATAAACAAATTAGTATGTTGGGTGGCACCTGTGGCTCAAAGGAGTAGGGCACCAGCCCCATATGCCGGAGGTGGCCGGTTCAAATCCAGCCCCAGCCAAAAACTGCAACAACAACAACAAAAGTGTGGCAACTGAATTTCTAAGTAACGTTTTCAGTTTCATTACGAACATACTCTGTTATTTAATACATCCCTACTTATTTCTGTTTCAGAGTGGAAGCTCAGAATGAAATGGGGCAGCACATTCATTGCTATGTTGCAGCTCTTTCTGCTCACACAACTTTTCTGGATCAGCCCAAGAGCTTTCGCCCTTCCCAGTGGATAAAAGAACATAGTGAAAGACAGTCTCTTAACAGAAACAGTCTTCGTCGCCAAAATCTTACCAGGGATTGCCACTCTCGGCAAGTCAAGCACAATGGCTGGGTTGTTCATCAGCCCTGTCCACGTCAGTACAATTACTAAGAATTTCAAGTTGTATTGGTTGGTTTCTCTTGGTTTGTACATAAGTGTGTGGATGTGCGTATATGTACAATGAAAATATTGTCTCTTTACAGCCAACTGATGACCAATCACATAGTTTGATCAGTGTGTTTAGACACTATCTTGAAAACTAGATTTATATGCTGTGTATCACATAATGCCTTGCTCTTAACATTTACTTATTTGTAAATTTTTTCAGAATATTTTTCAAAACATATCAATACAGTGACAGTGTTTGGTGTTTGGGGATGTCTTTAAATCTATTAAGGTGTACATGAGTTAGCATTTTAAAGACATTGCTTCCCAAGTACAAGAATGGGCATCTTTCAGTTTCATCTTGTTTTATATTAATCAATCTTTTGAGCAAGCAAAAATTTTTTCTCAGGGTCAGCCATACACTTTATTGACCAGTACTTGATAATCTTTTCTGTATATAATGAATACATTTTTACACACTAACATGAGCATTAACAGGTGATAGTTGCCATGGATATTAATGGAATTATGGCTGGACTTTTTTTTGAAAGAAAACTTGATATATTTCTGTGTGTATGGTTTTTTTTCTTTTTTTTTTTTTTCAGATTAGTCATGCAGTTCATTTTGGAATTCAGGTACATTAAGCTTTAGTGAACAGTGCATTCAGAAATTCCAATGTGACTATGTGACATGGTACAGACATCACAGGTGTTGTGGACAAGAGCACTGTCCCATGTGCAGAGGGATTAAATTAGACCTGTGAAATTATATTTGGAAAAATTCATGTCTATAACTAAGCCACTAGTCCAGTATTTAAGTTGTTTCGATTTCTTCCTGCCATCTCTGCCCACTCCCCACCTCACATCAGCTATAAATTCAGAAGTACTTGCCCAGGAACTTGCGTGACTTCTTACTTACATCTGCCCACGGGAAAAGAGGCTTCAATTACAGTGAAAAATACTCTGTCCTGGAGCTTCTCCTGCCAAGTGGCAAGCAAGGGTGAGGGGGAACTCGTGGTAGTGTCTTTCATAGCTTCTACGGACAGAGTGACAGGTTGGCTTCCTTGACTTTCTATGTTTTGATTTAACTTCAGGCAAAATCTTTAACCACTCTGGCCTCTGGTTTCTTCTACCAACAAGGGAGTAGTGATACTTACCTCCCTCACAGAGTTGTTGTAAGGATTATATGCTGATTTGAAGTGGGGCTGTCCAGAACTGAACCTTGTAGGAAATTCCAAGGGCCTTTCTGTTAAATCTGGTGATGCTGTGAGGCTGAGGCAGTTTCTCTGCCACAGCTGTTCTTCACAGTGTTGGTGCTAATGAGGCCAGGGTGCAGGGTTCGATTCATAAGTAGGCCAGCGCAGAGAAAATCTCTTTCCTTACCTTTAGGCAGTCACTTCCTTTTTTAGCAGTTGTGATGGGTTTTGTTGAGCCATCCGCACTCTCACCAGTTTCCTCTGAAATTAAGTAATTATACATTTACAATCTGAAGCACTTTCTACCAACAGAGCTTATTTTTCCATCTTCTCTTCAGCCCTAATTAAATGAATACACATACACGTGTCTGTAAAGTATTTTCAAGGAAGAGAGCAGCAGTTAGTTATGTAAAGTATTATATTTTTCAATAACCCTGTAACAGCTTGATGCAGGGAATGCTGGGAGACTTTCAGGGAAGAGCTGTGCTCTTTTCTGGCCATTTGAAGTTGAAAAAGGTCAGATATGTTAGCTGGGTGGTGGTTCTGGATTATTCTTCCATTGGCTATGATGAATGCCAGGATGTCTCTTTAGAACAAGAATCTGGACTCCCCCTTTTCTCCTAATTGCCCCTCTGTTTTGATTTTCTCTTTATTTATTTGTTTTCTAAGTAGGGGCCAAGTCTGTAAAGTTTTGTCAAACTGAGTTAAAAGTTATTTTGTTACTATTTGTGTTTACCAGAGTTGGGAGATAAGGTAGAGCTTTCATGAAGGTGTGTATGTTTTACACCATGTCTGTTATAGGGCCATATGTCAGTAACTTGAAAATAGACCAGCTAAATGTCTTCAGGATGTAAGCCTCTGAATACATGGGGTCTCTTTTTCACATATTGCATGGAAGTTGTTAGTACCTCAAGAGATACAAAAGTTCAGCCATGAGAATTTGTTCGACAGCATGAACAGTTTTGTATATACAGCTGTGCAGTGGTCTTTGTTGTTTTTTTTTCCAGATTTCCTGATATTTCAAATGCATTCATATCTCTTAACAGTTATTGAATTTTTGTTCGCTTTATCTGGACCTAGCCTTTTATGCCTTGTACCTTGAAAACAAAAAATTTCAGTCACCAGGTTTGGATTACAACACCAGCTGTGATATACTGTGGTTTCTGTGTCAGTGTCTAAAGTTTCTAAAATTGGCACATGTAAGAATCAAAGAAAATGGTTATGTATTTCAGTGGAAGTTCTTGGTCATTCAAAGTTAGGCATCTACTGTGTGTAGGACACAAGGCCAATAATAACACAGAACATGTTGACCTGTTAAGTATTCTCTGAAACATGGCCAAAATGCATTTTATTATGATCTTATTAATATTTCTGTTATAAATATTAGTGGTTTACAGTGTGCTTTAGTGCATATTTCCTAAACATTCAAGCAGTGAGAAATAAGACCCCTTTGAGTTTAGTAGCTCTGACTGTTTCTAACCTGACACCAATATTACTTGGTGAAAGTCTGGAGTTCATGGTGCACCCACACAGTGCTTTGTGAACGCATTTCATTAGCTTTTATAATGCACCATGCTTCTCAAAGTCTTTGTTAATAAAATATTTTATAATATATATCCTACGTTTATTACTTTTTCCTCCTCAACCAGTTGAATTACGTACTGCACTGTACATCTGAAGATTAGAGCCATCCATTATTTATCTTCTGCGGCAATGCATTTCTATGGTTAGTTGGGTGGTGAATTTTTTGCAGAAAATGCAAAGTAATTAGATTTTTTACTTCCTACTGCAGATGCCCTTTTAATATTAATTTCCTGAACATTTTTCCAATTCCCATGCAAACCCTTCCTGTTTACATATATTCTCTGTTGTTAGTACTTTGATCCTAGGGAGAAGACAGTTTACCTACAACTTGAGAGTGCTGTTCAGCTTTGCCTGTTGTTTTTGCTTCTCTAATCTGTATAATACACTGGTTTGTCATCTGTGTCTTTGTTGAAATCTGAGTTTCTTTGCTATTTCTCTTCCTCTTCAAAGAAATATATTGTCTTTACATAGTCTTAAAAAAAAAAAGAGCAAGGAAGGGTATCTTTGTTATCGTCATTTTCTTTTTGAGTTGGAAACAAAAAAATGAAGGACTCCAGCTAGAGGGTAGACATTACATTAAAATAGACTAGTTTAAAAGTTTGAGTTTCCAAGTATTAGTTTTTGTTTTTAGACTTGGTTAAGAGACTGCTCCTTGTCCTAGGAGATACTAGTATATGTTTGCAATGTTACCTTAAAATTATCTTTTTATAAAACCTATAAATACTGGTTAAACTCTTTTTACAAGTTGGGCTTCTTTATCATGGATGGTTGCACTGCCATCAGCCATGCTGATACGTTATAAATGGCATCCCCGTGTACTTACTGTAATGCTTAAAATCTTACATAAAATGCTTTATTTAGAAAACCTATATAATACAATGGTGTCAGCCTTGCCAAGAACCAATTTCACTTGAAATTTGACACCCACTAAGGTGGTTCAGGGTGGAGCAAAAGGTACTGGAAAGCATAGAGATAAGGTTATCTTTTCTAATTTGCAACAGTATCCTTTATGTGGGAGGAAAAGTTACTGTTCAGAGGAAGGCAGCTTAAGTGGATAATGTTTTGTGTATCATTGAGAATTTTCTTTATGACATTTTTAAAAGTTGTATAATTGTTGAATGTCCAGTTTTGCTCTGTGTTTGCCTGAAGTTTTAATATTTGTTTTCTAGGTGGACTTCTAAAAACCAAACCAGTACCTGGGGAGGTTAGACGTGTGTGTTTTCAGGCTTGGCGTGTATGAGTGGTTTTGCTTGCTTCTCGGTTGTGTTTTCTTCCAGACGTTTTGAACTTTAATCAATAATTGTGTGTGTTATTTAAAAAAAAAAAAAAAGTGGCTTTTTTTTTCCTCCAGTAAAATTGTGAACACATTTTCTTTTCAATAGCAGGGTGTGAGGTATGGAAACTGCAGAGTATTGTAGATTGTACCATGTGCCTTTCTGAATGTGTTTCTGGACAAATTTTCTTTCAACTTGAAAACTCAAAAGGGACATTTGGTTCGGTTACATGTATACTGTATATCAATCTATGCATAAAATGGCAGCTTGTTTTCTTGAGCCACTGTCTAAATTTTTTTCTGTTTTTATAGAAATTTTTTATACTGATTGGTTCATAGATGGTCAGTTTTTTACACAGACTGAATACAGCACTTTGCCAAAAATAAGTGTAGCATTGCTTAAATGTTGTGTGTTAACACTTATTCTTTGTAATTGGGTTCCGTGGTGCATTTTGCACTGCCTGGAGTTATGGTTTTTAATCTGTCAGTAAATAAAATGTCCTTTAACTTCATATTTGTTGGATTCTTTTATCTTTATTGTCATTAGTTATAAAAGTTGAAAATACTTGCTATTTATTTTTTCTTGTCCAAAAGAGGTATTTAATGTGCACTTTAATTAAATACCTTCAGTGTATGTAAAATTAGTACATTAAGATTTGTTTACATAAGGGCTGTGTAAACAAGCCCCTGTGGCTCAGTGAGTAGGGCGCTGGCCCGATGTACCGAGGGTGGCGGGTTCATACCCAGCCCCGGCCAAACTGCAGCACAAAAAAATAGCTGGGCATTATGGCAGGCGCCTGTAGTCCCAGCTACTCGGGAGGCTGAGGCAAGAGAATCTCCTAAGCCCAAGAGCTGGAGGTTGCTGTGAGCTGTCATGCCACAGTACTCTACTGAGAGTGACAAAGTTAAGACTATCTCTTAAAAAAAATTTTTTTTGTTTAAATAAAATGAGTAATCTTTTAAGTGAACAGGAATTTGAGAGTAGCCCCCAACCAATACATTCCCCTCCAATCAATGTTATGTTAAAAAACAAATATAGAATTTATTACCCTGGTTTTAGCCTTAATAAGCTAGCTTGGTGAACCCAATAGGTCTTCTCCCACATAAATGGAGATACAATCTTATAGAAATGTTTTAGGATGACATGCCCTTCCCTGGTGCCATTAATGCCCCTATTGTGGAGCTCTAGTTTAAATAGGCCAATAAACACTCAGAAAACTTGAACAGGAAACCTAAAGAATAATTCCCATGTGAATGAATCCTTGGGGAAGATCAGCATTCTGGAACTGGAGCCTAATGCAGGATAGATCTTTATTATCTCTGAGCCTCTCAGCTGAGATGAAAAGATGGGGGTAGGGACTGGGGTCACTTTAAGATGAAAATAAGGTCGTGAAAGGTGACTTGAGAAGAGGCAGGTTAAAATGAAAGCCCCTAGTCTAGAATGGCATGGGAATGGCTGCTGCTGAGAAGTGTTTTCTAGGCCTACTTAAAAGATGACCAGAGTTCTAAGGAATATAGTACCTTGATCATGTTTCCAGGGCATGATTGCACAGTCTAAAAGTGGGGAGTCTAATGCAAAGTTCCCTCACAGGGAGGGCCATGTCAGGGATTCACAGTTTGCTATATAGCCTAAGATTAGCTCCTTTGCTTTGAATTTATACAGATGAGACGGTTATTCACTGTAGCACTGTCTGCTGTAAATGTGAAATTTGGGAACAACCAAAATGCTTATACGTAGAAGAATGGCTGAAAAGATTATGGCACATCCACACAATTCAGGCCCAGACAGTTTAAAAGCCTTATGAACTAATTTAGAGTGATTTCTGAAACACTCGAGTGAAAAGAGCAAAATGCAAAGAGTAAGCAATGCCTCATGTAATAAAGAAAGGAGTATAAGAAGACACATCAGCACTTAGGTACAAAACAGATGCAGAAGAATAAGCCAAAAATGAAACAGAATGGTTACTTACAGAGGGTGGGGTTTGGTGGGGGGGGGTTGTTTGTTTGTTTGAGACAGATTCTCAAGCTGTCGCCCTGGGGTAGAGTGCTGTAATGTCACAGCTCACAGCAATCTCAAACTCTAGGACTTAAGAGATTCTCTTGCCTCAGCCTCCCAAGTAGCTGGGACTACAGGCACCCACCACAACACCCAGCTATTTTTTGTTGCAGTTGTCATTGTTGTTCAGATGGCCCAGGCTGGGTTCGAACCCTCGGTGCAAGTGGCAAGCACCGTAACCACTGTGCTATAGGCTCCAAGCCCAAAGGGTGGTTTTTAAAGGGTTGGAGAGAAGAGACGAATTAGAATAGGTCCACAGGAATGAGGAGGGAACAGCATTCTCTGAGTATCCCTTTTTGTGTAGCTTTGGCTTTTAGAACCATAGTAATGCAGTCAACACTAGTTATGTTCCAACCATTCAACAGCTACCTGTGGCTGGTGGCTACCACACTGGACAGTGCAGAAAGAGAACGTTTCCATTATCTAGAAAGCTGTATCACACAGTTTTCTCTGGATCTGTCAACTGTTCACAGACCGTGTACAGCAGTCTTGACCATTACTTTGCTGTCTAACTTTTCCTCCCACTTTACCTGCTGAGAAACATTCAGGCTACTTCCTTCTTTTTTCATGGCCATGATCCTGCCTATTCAGCCTAGACCCCCATTCTGCACCATTTTGGCCATTCTCCTGGCCGCATGTCTAACTGAATCTTTTTTCTGACATGCCTGGTCTGCTAACCTCCAACCTCAAGTCAGTCTGAATAATGGACTTGTTTCTACTACACTTGAGCTGCCTAAGAACTACTGGAGGAAATTACACACTTGTGGGGTCAGAGCATGGGACCAGGAAGGTCTACAACAGGGGTCCTCAAACTTTTTAAACAGGAGGCCAGTTCACTGTCCCTCAGAACGTTGGAGGGCTGGACTGCAGGCCCCGGGACGAGTCGGCTGCTAAGCAGGACAGGCAGCGGCGGCAAAAACACCTGGCGGGTGGATAAATATCCTCGGCAGGCCAACAGGCCGTAGTTTGAGGACACCTGGTCTACAAGCTCAGGTGCTGCGGCTCACAGGGCCTTTTGTGTGCAAACTGTCAACTCTACACAGTTTCTGTTATCTACTCTCCAAGACGCCCCAGTGCTTATCAAATTTTCAAATGCAAACAAATCATCTGAGGGATCAATTATGCACATTCTAACTAGTATGATAGAGGAACTGTTGAAAGCATTACTACAGTTCTAAAAGCCAAAGCTGTACAAAAGAGGATACTCAGAAATGCTGCCTCCTTCTGATCGCCACTAACCTAGTAGGCCAGGTGCCTGTGGGGCCAGAGAGCCTGTGTTTGTTAACAGGCCCCAGCTGATACTCAGGCTGCCAGCTCCTGTGCCAGGCTTTGAGTAGCAAAACTCTTAAGATAATTGTTCTCAAACTTTAGTGTGCATTTCAGTCACCCAGAGGGCTTGTAAAAACTAGGTTGGGCTGAGCCCAACCTCGAAGCTTCTAATTCTGTCATACTGGCTCAGGGAACACACTTTAGAAGCCATTGGCCTGACCCACTGCCAGCCTTACTGCTCAGTCTGAGAGAGCCCACTGTGGCCAGCGGAGAGAAGCCCTGTGTCAGCTGCTGTGGCACCTACAGCAACCATCACACTACTGAGAGGTGTTCCTAGGAACATATCTGTGATTAAGAAAAACATCAAGGCTCAGTGCCCATAGCTCAGTGGTGACAGCGCCGACCACATACACCGGGGCTGGACTGGGGCTGGCAGGTTCAAACCCAGCCCAGGCCTACTAAACAATGACAACTATAACAACAACAAAAATAGCTGGGTACTGTGGCAGGTGCCTGTAGTCCCAGCTACTTGGAAGGCTAAGGCAAGAGAATCGCTTAAGCCCAAGAGTTGGAGGTTGCTGTGAGCTGTGACGCCACTGCACTCTATTGAGGGCAACATAGTGAGATTGTCTCAAAAAAAACACCGATACTTGGGACCCATCTCAAGACATTCTGACTTAAATTGGGGGCAGGTAAGTCTTGGCAGATAAGTTTAGTCTGGGGAATAGTAGGCAAGAAATTCATAAAAGCTCTTGTGACGGTGACGCCTTGGCATTCGACCAAGGGCAACATAGTGAGAATGTGTCTCACTAAAAAAGAAAAAGTAAAACATCGATTAAAGTACAACTATATTGTTTGGTGGACATTCTGCATCCCTTCCCTTCTGATAACAGCATTGCAGTTTTCTTCTAGGGATCGACTTCTCCCTCTGTGACCCACATTAGTTTCAGGTGGCATTAACTAGTCCCAGCTCCAAGCACATGAATTGGGCTGGCCAATCAGATATGTGTTCCCCAGGCCACAGGGATAGCTGAGGGTGGACTGTCCTCCAATCAAAGCTAGTAAGACTCACCGAGGCTCTTCCTGGTACTGCTGGGAGAGAAGCTGAGGTTCATTTCCATTAAGCTTCGGCTAAAAAATACATGAACCTAGAACTGTAGCACCTGCCTAGCTCCACAAGGGGAGACGTGGCCACAGATAGAGTCGACCTGCAAGAAGTAAAGACGAAGGAGAGAAGACTCGCCCCCATCAACATGATTTAATACCTTGATCAAGCTCCACCTCTGGACTATTATGTGAGTTAGAATCTCTTTTTGCTTAAGCCAGTTTGGGTTGGGGTTTTTATCACTTGTATTTTCCCTTAGCTTTCAGTAGAGCAATTTAAGAGCTCTTCCTCTACCCTTATTGAAGAAGATTAAGCTGAGTGGCTCCACAGCTGGAGCTGGAGAAAATAAAGGTGCTTTAGGTATGGAGATCAGACCCAGTGGGCCCCTGAGAGCATGAGCAGAGACAGGTATTCAAGGATTTCTTTCCTACAGAGGCTCAGCCCCAGATGAATATAGAATGGTAAAGGAGGGGCTACTGTGGGAATGCTTGGCAGAGGCCAGCTGGTGTGAAGCACAGCCTGTGAGCAGCATCCAGCTCTCAAGGGGCAAGCCAGCATTGGGAGGTGGACGCCAGGGCTGTGTAGTGGGCTCTGGAGTGACATCTTGGCACACCCTACATCTGAGGGCAGCTGTCAGCACACTGGACTGCAGCAGCCATGCCAGCAGCTCATGAGGACTCAAGGCCAGGCCTCTGCTTGTTTCCTTGTGCTACATCCTGGGATGCTTATGTGGTCCTAGGGGAGGGACATGCAGGGGGCCCCATAATTGCTGCAGTGATAAGGCTCTGCTGTCACAAATGGGAGGAAGGCCCTTCTAAAAGAGGCCTCAGAGAACTGCCTGGCCTTCCACCCACTTTTGCTGTGTGAAGATGCAGGAAGAGGGGCCACCTTGAAGCAGAAAGCAAGACTTCACCAGATGCCTGTCAGAAATAAATTTCTATTATTCATAAATTACCCAGTTCATGGTGTTATCACAGCAGGAATGGATTAAGACATCTGGTGATTGTGTCATCTGTGATCCAGGACCTTATTCTGAGTTCTAGCCAGCTGTTTCTTCTGATACACAGTATTATTGCTATGTA